TGTGATATAATTTATTTGGATTTAAACATTGATGGCTTACCAATTTCGAAAAGCGTCAGCTCAAAGAGTCAACTTGGCCGATTTTAGGCAGAAGTTTTGGTTTGCCATTTGCCATCGGTGTTTATCATGGCTATCTTGCTTAATTGAATTTTTTTAATCATTTGTGGATGAATATATAAATTTAAAAAAACAATGGATTCTCAATCAACAAATAGTCCCTGTAAATCAATATCCGTGCTGTTATCTATGATGCTCCTGCTCGAGCATATGTTACTTGCACAAAATCGCATAATGGACATTTTGTTTGTGGAAAATGCACTGTCAGGGACGAAAGAATAAACAGGCGAATGACTTTTTTGGATATCACTGTTCCACTTCGGATCGATATTGATTTCATAGGTTGCAATCGAAACATCTGCAAGGTATTTCTTCGCTTTTGAATTGATTTCAGTTCCAATGGTAAGTCATTTTCCTATAGATTACATGCATAATTCCTGTCTTGGTATAAATAAGTAATTTCTAAAGTTGTGAATAGATAGGTCGAAAACTTCCAGAGTAGCCCAAGTTCATCTTAATATTTTGTTAGATGCACTATTTTGTCAGAACATTACTGATTTGTTAATAGTTCGAGTCTTTAATGTCTTTTTCTTAATATTATATCTTTATGTTATATTTATATTTTATATTGTATTTTCAAAAAATATATAAAAATACATAAAAATTATTTTAAGTAAATGCACATCACAAACTCACTCTCCTGTTCCTATATATAATAATAAATAATAAAAAATAATAACCAATGCTAGTAATGATTATTATGATAACATACAGATTTGACTTTATTAAAATATTAATAAAATATTAATATTAATTCAGTTTTTATGTTGCAATTTCTTCATATCATTACAGGCGAATGCAGAGGTTACATCCATAAGAAACTGAAAAGATTGTCCAGACAAATATACGCTATTGAAGCTCTATTAAAAGAGGGGAATGCAGGACGAAGTGATGAGATTGTAGCACAAGATCTGTTACCTCCATTGCCTCTAATGAAACAGTTCTTGCAGTGCGAAAATCAGTTGGAAGTAAATACTAATGAGAAAACAATTCGTAAGTATATTCATATTTATTAAATATTATTTTAAAAGCTTATATTGTCCATTAAGAAAATTGTATTTTCTCAGAAATTTACTCGCCATCTTATAACTTTTGAATTTCGTCACATTTAATTTCTCGTGTATCATCAAGAACTTTTTTTATTTATATGTATTAAATTTGGTAATTTTATATTATAGCATTATTGAAATATGATTTAATATAATATTAAAGTATGACATAATGCAAATAAAGAATTAAGTGGCAAAATTGCTACATAAAAAGATGTATGATGGACGGTATCAAATTAACCATCGATCGAACTTGTTTTCAAACACATGTATTTCATTTTTGCTGTCATATATACATTTCTTCTATTCATAATATTCCATTTTGTGTATATTTTTTGTAACTATATTACAGGAACTATATTACAGGAACATATGATATGTCGAATCGATAACAGTTTATTAGAAATACTTTATCAAACAAATTATCTCTAATAGTAGCCACTCAAATATCATGGACAGGTCAGAAGAGTAGTGTAAGCTTTAAATCCACATCCATATCCAAACTAATAATCAGTAATATTTATTCCATTATACCTACTTTCCCATAACAACAAATTAAAACATTTTTATGAGATTGAAAACATAGCCTTTTGCATGCAATCTTCGTGGCGTCCATGAAATTCATCATAAATGTTATTTAAAAATATTGATGAGCTAAGCATAATACTACAAATCAAAATATAAAGGCAGCTTACAGATAATTTAACAAGTGTGAATTACATAAATGCGAAAATTATATTCAAAATTAGATTGTAAGTTGTCTACTGTTTCTGATATCAGATAAATGTTCAACTAATACATCCTAGCCGTCTTAATACCTCGTCAGTGCTAATATATAATTTTATAATATATAATAAATAATTTTGGAACGTATAGCTTGATTGCCCATACTAAGGCTATAATATGCAGAGTATTCGCATCCACTATTTTTAGTTTTTTTGTCACTCTCTTGCTTCTTTTCCCAATCCCTTGCTCTCTTTCCACTCCGCCACTGAGCTGAGAAGATTGAAGAGAAAAGATTGAAGGTTGAAGAGAGAACGAAGAGTGGGGAATATCTATATTATAGAGTGTTCTATCCAATCTTTTACATTTGTTTGAAACGCAAGTTCTCATTGATTGATTATTTAAAAAAAAAATTTGCATTGTTGCAAAAATGAAAAAGTATAATCAATCAAAACAAACCTATTGCTTTATATTTAATTAATTAAAATATTATTTTATATTTTTATTTTTATTAATACAATTCTTTTAATTGTACATATTTCAGACTTGGTGATGAAACGGTTATCAGGTTCGTATACCGAATTAGAACGTGCCATCAAAGAATGGTTCCATCGCTCAGGTGACAGAATAAGAAGCGTTACAAAACAAAATAAATAGTATTAGTAAAAACAATATAATAAAATATTACTATATTAAAATCATTTTTTTAATAAATATAAAAGATATAAAATATATA